GGACGCTGTTACGTATCGCAGCAACGGGCCGACCCGCCCCATGAGGGGTCTACGTATTTATGCCTGTGAAGAAAACTGTTCGGTCGCTATGGAGATCGCCGCCTCGGTAGCTTAGCAACGGGTCGATTTACGTGACGTATCCTGCTCAATGCAAAATGACCGGGGCCATAGCACCAATGGGACCGGGTCGAACCGAGCCGGGCTGGGCCAGGCCGGACCTGCAGTGCAAAAACGGCTTATGAATTTTGAAACTGATTTATGCTGTAGATTATATATATAGTAACTTTGTATTATTCTCACATGCTTTTCTTCATATGATGTTTTTATAGTGTTGCTTTTTCCTGTTTTCATCACCAATCTTTGAGTTTATTTCTGCTTCACATCTTCAGAGGAACCAGAGAGTTTACCAGCAGAACTAGACGGGCCATCAGCTGTGTGTCCAGTGATCATTCATCCTGAGATCGACTTGGAGGTAAGGATGAAATAAAGAGAAGAAGAAATTAACTCAACACTAAAGTTGATTACAAATTCATACTTTACAAGTAATCGGGTAAAGCCATTCACTTTATTTGTTAAAATCATGGATCTAAAACATTTCAGTTCAACTTTAAGAAACAAGTCATCTCTGGTTTGGTTGTTTATGTTGTTCACAGCTCATTGAAGCGTCAGCAACAACTTAGGTAAAGTCTCACTTCTCACGCCTGCAGCATGTTTCTGTCATTTACTATCCGTTTCATGCTGCATGCTCTTTGGCGTTTGCAATATGTCTGTGTCTTTATAGAATAATGACAATAAACGGAACTAAAAAGCTTAAAACTGAGATTATAGAGTAAAACAGTTTTTTTCAGAAATAAACTAACAAAAAATGTATGTCACCTTGTTTAAAGAACGGATCTGATTGTGTCCGTTGTGTTTGTCACCTCATTCAGTGTCCACATGCCTGCTTTCAGCGTTAATGTAACCATTTGAAGAGGTTGGGTGTCCTGAAGGTGGGGCTGGACAATATGGCTGAAAAAACGCATCACCGTATCAGTGATATCAATAATTATTGATTACTCCCAACCCTGATTGGTTGGGAGTATTTCTGAATCGTAGGATCCTAATTTACAAAAATTTGAGTTGGAAATGGAAATTGTTTTTAGACTTTAAAACATTTCACATTTCTGACCTTTGTGGTTTATTTTTCTCCTCAACAGCCTTCTAACCTGTTTGACATTTTCTGTCTGTTACGGCCCAATACTGTCCAACTTCAGTTGTTTTAGACCCGTCAAGATTCCAGACTGCTGTCATCGTCAAATTGATGTTTGGTGACGAGAAATTGGAGTTATTTGTAAACTGTTTGTGACACAAATACCGATTCCATGTCTCCCTACTACTGCTACAAATCACAACAATAACAAATACATTTTTATTGTTGTTTTTTCTGTGTTCTGGGTAAAATTACCGGTTTGCAAAGTTGTAACTTTGTAACTCATAATTTTTACCCACCAGGAAAACGTTTCATACCTGCCTTGACAACTGGTGATTTAAAGCTTTTCCTTTTACCTTTTAGTCAATGTCTACTCTAAGAAAAGTTAGTTAGCTATGAAATGTATTCATATGATTAGAAACAAAACAATTATATACAATAGAACAAAATATACAAATCAATAAAATGAAAGGCAGCAGAAAGAAGAAAAAAATCTTAGAATTGTGAGTTTTATCCCAAAAATATATTTAAACACTAAAAAGAAATGTAGCTTATATGAATGCTGTGTTTGGTTTACGCTCCTGTGTCGTTCTGGTGTCAGAGTTGTATAATAATAGTTCATATAAGTGGAGCAAATGTGTGATGTTTCCTTAAAATGTAAGAAAAATATTTTAAAAATTCTCTCCTTCCATCTTTATTTTTATAACTTTCAGTACTTTCATTGGATGTATTTTTATATGGCTGCATGTAAAAATGATCATAAATATCTTTCTGGAGGTTGTATTTTTATCTGTTCGGTTTTTAAAAACAGAAAGGCAAACATTAAACTGTTTATATTTTTAAAAATGCATGGATTTTTATACATTTAACAAGACGTCCTACTATTTACATTTTGGAGAACTGACCTTTTCTCGCCTGCACTTTTTATGTGTTTACATCGTCACCGCCACACTGTCAGCATGAAGTTTATGTCAGAGAAAAGCATTCGTGTGTTTTAAAATGCTTTTCTGTTGATTTGAAATCGTTTCTCTGCTGTGAGCTGTCATTGTTTTCTCTTCATTTACTTCAACAGAAACCCGTTCACCAGTCCGGTTCCTCCGCCACATCTCAACACAGGCCACCATCTGGCGGCGCCGCACTGTCCACACCCGCTGCACCTTCAGCATCCCCCAAACCCGACCCTCAGTCCAATTCTGCCTTTGCACTCCAACCAGATAAGTCTCAGCCTTCGCATTTACTCCACCAAGAGCACGAGAAAGAAACGCCAGAGCAGTCTGTGCAGAGCCCTCCCGCTGTGCCGCCGTCTCCCTGGCCTCCTTCATCTCAAGAACCCGAACAGAGATCAGGCGAGTCCCAGGCTGAGAGAGTGGAAACTCTTCCTGGCGTCTGTCCTCCTGCAGCACATATGAATCTGCCGTCAGCAGCAGGAGACAAGCACATAGCTGCTAAGTGTGTCTCCTGTCCCAGTGTGACGGTAGAAGACAAAGAACAATTGAACCAACTTCATAAAAGGCTTTTAGAAATTACCTCAAAATCTGCAGAACGTGAGGCAAAGAAAAGAGCTGCAGATGAGGCTCGTGCATCTTTGGAAGCGGAGGACAAAGGTAAACCTGTGACAAAGCCAAACACCCCTGAGCCGAGCAAAGACGCCGCTCCTCAACCTGCCTCATCCGACGATCCACTACGCCAGAGGTCTGAAAAAGAAAAAGAAGACTACAGCATGGATCTGTTGCCGTGCATCATCTTCCTGAGTGTTTCCATCTCACTGGTGTGTTGGAAACTCTTTAGGAGAGGGTAGAGAAGCTGCTCAATAAACCGGAGAAAGAGCCATCTTTGTCTTATATCTTTATTCGAAGCGTTCAAAGACTCTGGTCANAGAAGCAGAACCCCGATGTAAGTTTTTCACACAGTTATTTATACACACACACACACAAGTTTGAGATGAAGAACAAAAGAAAATCGGGTACGGAGATACAATGATACCAAACATCTGTTTGAACCCGTTTCTTGCACTTTATTTAGAAACTCATCTGCATGCTTGAGCTGAGTGAAGGAAATCAAAGGGACTCATTTAAAGTTTGCCGCTTCACTAGTGATGCACCTCAGCTGCTTCTGGTTCTTCTGGATTGGCTCCAAAGGTTCAGTCTGATCTGCTGTCAAGCAAAGTGCCTTTTAATGATTCCAAAAAGAAGCCAATGAGTTCAGTAACGCTCACGTCTCTCTCTGATTTTGTGCAAAATCAAACATACGGAGCCTCGTAAAAGTGTTTAAGCCCGTTAAGCTTTTTCACATTTTGTTACGCTGCAAAAACACAAAATCTTACCAAATATTTCTGATCTAGTTTCTGTCTTCGTACACTTGAAATGAGACAAAACTAATGTACAATCAAGATATAAGAGCTTATTTTAGGTAAATAATCCTGCACATTATTTAATTTATTAAGACATTTTTCTAAAGTTATAGAAACTAAAAAGTTTTTCATCAATATTAAGGAATTATTGACTCAAATTTCTTGCTAAAAATTACTTGCAAGTTAGTTTTTCTTATTTCTAGTGTGAGATTTCATATTTTTGCAGTGTATGCTACAACTACAGTGCAAACTTCATTTCATTTTATTTCATTTCATTTCAAACTTCAAAATATTTCTTTGGGATTTTATGTGATGGATCCACACAAAGTAGTGGATTATGGTAAAGTGGATTCATGCAGAGATGCAGAGGAGCCAGTCAGGGTTAAAGAGGAGGAGACGGATGAAGCTAAACACTGAGGAAATCTGTAGGAAGCTGTGAAATACTTCAGATCAGGGCAGAGTTTACGTCAACCCTGAACACAGAGCCAGAGATCAAATGATCAGAGCGAATTCATGTGTCAGATAAATCCACTTACGAATTGTTGCAAGACTCAAAAACTGAGATTTCCTTCAAATCTGAGTTTCATCTGTTTTGCTTAGATTCATTTTCAGAAGTGCAGGAAAATTCCTGCCAAATGTTTCAGATTATAATCTGAAAATAAAACAATGCATGATTTTATAAACTACTTTATTTAGATCAAGATGCATAAAATATATTAAAGTTTGTCACTGTGATTTAACAAGAATATGGAAAACCTAATGGGAATGAAGACTTTTGCAGGCTTACGCCATGTATGTAGCAGAGTAGCAAAAGGAAAGTACATTTGTTTTCTGTAGGCGATCTATGAATTATCTTGTTGTGTGAAGATATTAATAGTATATCATGTGATATTGTCCAGTTAGTGTTAAGAAGCACCTTTTATTGCACTCATCGTATGTAGCACAGGTTCAGGTAATAAAAAGATGAAAACAGCCAGTAAAATTAAAAGTGACGCCAGTGAGAAAGTGCCTTAAAGTCTCTTAGTGATCTCCGTTTTATCAATAAAACATCTTTGTTTTGTAGACAACACTCGCTCTAAAAAAAAAACACCTTCTAAAATGTTATTTCTTCACCTAAAATCCTCATGCGTTTCAGAATTACGTTAAAAATGGATCTTAGTTTATTTTGTCAGGAGTTTCTTTAATAACACCAACTGATGAAGCCTCAGTTTTTGATCTATTTATTGCTGCTTGCTGTTGATTTTATTAAGTGGATACAGCTCCATTCACCAGTGTTTCCCATTGGAACTGGGAAGTTGGGAAATAAACCATAGCATCCCTTAAAATTGTAAAGTCCATTTCAAATTTCAACTTGGAAAGTTCCAAAATGGCCGCCATGCATTTAAATAAACAGCAGCAGCTTCACTTATAAACTGTTCATCTGCATTTCTGAAAGGTTTAATTTCATTAAACACAAAGAGCTGCACACCTTCCTTTAATAAGTCCACATTTCTGCAAGGTTTAAGTGTAGAAAAAGTAAAAAAAATGCAGGATTGTTACTGTTTTATGCTAACGATATTTAGTCTAGACTCTGACCAAAACAGCCAATCAAGCACATATGGAAATCCCTCATAATCCACTTTATTTTTAGCACATATTTTGTCAAATGTTTTCCAAAGAGCTGTGACTCTGCACCACAGCTAAATTTTGCGTTAGCCGCCAACGTTTTGCTCCCTGTTTAGGAATCCAAAATGGCTGCCATATGTTCAGAAACTGCTGCTGTAATAAACTGTTTTGTGTCTCACACACGCTGGTCTGTTATTGAACATCCAGTTTCATGTTTTGAATGTGAAATACATTATTATCTTCCATCGCTAATTTTATTTAGCTTGACTGGTTTTCCAACTGCAATAAGGTCAAGTTGGGTGGGATTTAGATCAAACCTCTGACGTCTGAGGTAAGCGTAACAACAACTAACCACTCGGTGTGCTTCACAGCATGCTAGCTGCTAAAGCTAATGGACCTAGCATCCAGCATAAATATATTCGTGATTTGCCTCTAACTGGTGCTAGTTTGTCTCTTTACCTGAACTTTTTTTGACACAGTTAAAGGTTGAGTGAATGCTGAAGCCGTTGGGTGTAATGGTGCAATAAATTGAGAATATATTTTTACATTTTAATCTCATGGGAAAACTCTTCTGAGAGTGCTTATGCAGGCAAAGCTTTACACCTGGCAGTGACTCAAACGAGGGATAACAACACTCCTCCGTCTTTTCTAAATATGGTCTCTACTGCATCCAGAATATCAAGATGGCAGCAACCAGCTGCCAGAACGTTGCGTTTTAAAATGGTCCACATGTCGTTGGCAACGCATACTTTCTTATTTTAAGTTGTGGAGTGTTACGTCTTCGGTGTGGCACAAAATCTTGAAATAGAGTTTTGTTTGTAAAGTGCATGAGAACGAGTTTGCCTCAGTCACTAGTAAATAATGTCAGTTTAAGGAAAGAATTGGAGTTGGAAGTGATGTCGATGACGGGAATTCCTGTTGATTCATGCCAGTAAACCCTCGATGTTGTTGCACCAAACTGTACAACTCTGTTTTGTGAACCTCACAAATGAATTTAAGCACAAAATCAAATGTTTGAAGTGATGAAAGTGTTTGCAATGTCCCAGAATTAAACCTGATCCAATCCCCTCTTGTCTGACCTTATTTTCTTCATCTGTTTTTCAAAATAAGTTTATCTTAATGCAGAGACGTGGCATTGTTGTGCAGAGCAGAATAGACCGGAGTCACTTTTAAAATAACGCTGGCGTCTGCAGAGCGCGCCGCGTTTTCTGAACACAAACTGCAACATGAGCTGCTGAAGAAAGCCAAAGGTCACGCATTGCATTGAAGTCACGGTATCCTGCAGCGCCTCAGGCTTTGTAAGCTGAGAGACGGAGACGAAGGCTGACAAACAAACCAGGATTATATTCTGAAATGTCATAGACGGCTTCAGATTATAAAAAAACCAACTCGTGCTACTGGGGCTTTTATTGTCGTCTTGTTTATTTAGTTTACTGTGTTTCAGTCAGTTTATGGTGCTAATTTAATCCATTATTTGGATTATTAGTGTGTGTGTTTGGCCTTTAAATAAAATTAACTATTTTCACTTTTTCAGACTTTTACAGAAAAATCAGCAGAGATTAATTTTCGAAAAGAAGTGCAGCATTTAAATTGACTTCAGAAAGATATCAACAGTAAATGCTCAGTAAACAATTTAATGAAAAACAATGTAGATAATTGAAATCTAAGTACCATTTTGACACAAAATTATTTTTAGATGTTTTTCCTCTATTTTCAAGTGTGGCAGAGTTAGTTTGTCCCAAATTACAGCTAATTTAATCTGTTCTTTACTGTCCTTTGGATTACACTACTGTTTATTTGTTTGGTTTTAAATAAAATTATTAACTAGTCCACTTTTTTCAGACTTTTGCAGAAAAATCAGAAGAGATTATTTTTGGAAAAGTAGTAAAAATTTAAGCAGAGTTTAAATTGACTTCAGAATAATATCATGGATGAACTTTATGAACAGTGAATAAAGTAATTTAATAAAAACCAATCTAGACAACTGAAATCTAAGCAACACTTTCACACATTTTTATTTTCAGATGTTTGGTGTGACTAAACCACAGTTAAATCTGTTTTTCCTCTATTTTCAAGTGTGCCATGGTTAGTTTATTTAATCACGGACAATAACAATCATAACCGGTTGTTTTGAATTATGTGTAATCTTCTTTCTACAAATGTTTGCCACTTTTGCCTTTCACATAAAAATTATCTTTACAAACGTATAAAGATGTGATGTCGACGTTTGGAGTCGTAAAACAAGTTTCTAAGGAAATCACTTGTACAAAATGCAGGTTATTGCAAGCTTTTTATTTAATGTTTTGTTTTTTGTCACAATTTTGAGTCCAACATGCATTAAACTCTTCAAAGATTTCCAGACTGGAAGTAGAGAGCAGGTTGAATTACCTGTTGGGGAAAACGTCCTACTTTTTTCCTCAAGGAGAGAACAAAGTCAGACGATCTGAGAGGTAAAAACGTGTTACAATTTACTGATTTAAAAATGAAAAGTAAGACATTAAAACACTTTATAAAACAAACAGGGTGAGAGAATGTGTGCATTAAGCTGCTGCAATCTGAACCAACAGACCAGAAATAATATTGCAGTTTAGTTTTGAGGCAATACAATATTTTTTCTTAAAGCCTGGGAATGAGAGAAATGAGCTGAACTTGATGAAGGCAATGAATAAAACAAACCTAATAATTATAATTATGCAGCGCTCTGGGCAGCTCTGTCGCATCAAACTTCGCAAAAATAAAAAAGAAAAGCTTAAACAGGGACAAGAGGAGAGTCATAGAAAAATCTGAATCAGAAACCAAGATCGGTCCAGTTCCAGACATTTGATACAAACATGAATAAAACAATTAAAGGGGCAGCATAATGTAAAATCTACTT